AACTCATAAATTATAATTTAATTGTATGGAAATAACGGGATTAAAACGGGACAATCTTCTAAACACGGAATAAAAAGCGTCCCGTTCGAAGTTTTTCGGGACAACGGGACATGATGATCAAAAAAGGGACAATCCCGTTTTAAACGGGACGTATGATCACCCTACTCTAGCACCCGGAATTAGGTCACAAGTTCTAAATCCCAAGTAACAAATTACTAACTAATTCATGACATAATTTTTAAGTCAACATTTCAAAGTCGGGTACCTGGGTAAGTAAGCTACTGTATTAATTGTATAAACTACTCAGTATCAAGTGATTAGAAAATACAATTTTAAATTCATAATTTTCTGAAAGTATTCGAAATATTTTAGAAATAAAATCCAGTGATCTTCTGGAGAGTCGAGTAAATTTTACGTAATGGAAACATTAAGTATTTTTGCTTTCGTAAAAAAAAAAAAATCAATTTAAACATCTTATGAAATTACAGTATTTTGATCTTTTGATTTCGGGTTGTATGAAATCATAATTAAAATATTATAATTTTATAACTATAGAATATTATAAAATTTAAAGATAAGAAAATTATCTGTGTCCTAGAGTTGATGTATTTTTTCGACATTTTAGATAATATTTTTTTTTTTTAGGTATACTTCACATACTTATATTATCTTGCTTAAAAATTATTTCGGTAATAGTTCAATTCGTTTTAGTATTAAAATTATCGACTTATAATCTATATAATTCTACACAAATTTACTGTGTCCCGCGTTTGTAAAGCTGAGATAATGAATGAGGGTATGGCGTCCTCATTATGTTGAAAAACATTTGAATGGTCGATACTTGACATGGTTTCGTTATCTTGCAGTTCTTTTTCGCCGTACGACTGTGGTGATTTTGGTTTAGAGTTGATTACTTGATCTCGCTCGTTGAATGGTTTCCGAACGAATCACGTGTATAAAACAGCTTTAAAACCCCACAAAATAAAATAATCATTATTTATTTATTTTGTAAGATTAAAATATATCAGTTGACGTATTTTACGTCCGGTACGCGACGCTATTGTTTGACTTATGCTAATAAATATTGGAATCGTAACCATCCACGGACGGAATATTATCATATTTGAACCGTTTAATTTAAAATATGTATTTAAGTCGAACGTCCGCTTTTAAACTAAAGATATACCCAGTGACGGGGCTAGGCTGAACCATTGGTTGAAATGAACAGTATTAATCGAGGTTAATTGTGACCGATAATATTTTTACAAAATGGCTATTTTGAACATTGTCTAAAGCGAATAATTAAACAGTTATTTGTTTTTTTGTCTTTAGGGGATGAAAAAAAAAATTAAATTACTATAATAATGTACTATATAATATTTTCCTGGTCTACCTACAAAAATTCAAGAGTNATTTCATTATTAAATTATCAAATGCTCGTAAACGGAAACGTATTTTTATTTTGAAAATATAAATTATAGCAACAATGTATACCCAACGATGTGCTCACACTTGGGTGTCGCACAATTTGTCCAATGACTCGGTTACAAAATATTATTATTGCTTAATATTGTTGTATAGGTACCTACAGAAGAATAATGTTTTCATAGTCTTAACAGTAAAAAATACAGTCATAAAATACCAATGGATTCCTCGCTTCACTCGGAATCTAAAATAATATTTTATCCTCATAGATGACTTTTTTTAGTAGTAAATAATTATCTATGTATCGTATTAACAAATTGTGAATTATTGTGAAGAATATATTAAATGAACTCAAAAGTCGTGTAAGAAATTGTTTTATTACTATCACATTATGCTGGTGAATTATTAAATGGAGTTCATATTTGAATACAAATTATAAACATTATTAAACATACCAGAAATCACAAAGCTGAAATGAGTAACTTAGGGCATTTAGGTTATGAAAAACCAAAAACGTAGCTAGGTAAATAAAGGAAGAGTTTATATAGAAAAGGACCTACAGGGTACATCCCTGTATGTTGGCGAGTCAGTATGCGCTTGGCCATAATATGTCTCACTCTTAAGTGTTTTACCATAAACCTTAACAATATTGTACATGACTAATAAGTAATAACTAGGTATAGTATATATAGGTATTTAGAGTGTAGAATATTCGTATCATACAATTCTCGAATGTAAATATTATGATTGAGATTACATCCCTGTATGTTGACGAGAGTAGTATAGAAATGCCGATTCTGGCTCACTCCCGATAGTTTTCACTTAAAAACTAATTTCAGATCTATATTCACATTGTTTTATTTCCTGTTCTTTGGTCACATGCATAAATAAAAATAATATTTGAAATAAAAAAATAAAAAAAATATTTGAAAAAAAATAAATTAAAAAAATTAAATTACAAATAATATTAAAAATAATATTTAAAAAAAAAATATTTGAAGAAAAATAAATTAAAAATAATATTTGAAAAATTAAATTTCATAATATTTAAATAAACATTATTTTTTATTATTTGTTTTTATTAAATTATCAAGGTATTCTCTGAAATTTTCTCTTTTTTTTTTAGTTGTATAATGTCCCCAAGCTACAGTTCAATACCGTTTTCTAGAATATACCTTTTATTGTTATATGCACTAAGGGCTTTTTTATTTTGTTCAACAATATATATTTCATGTTTATCTGTTCTAAAAGTGTTCTGTTTTACATATTTTGGATTTTTATTTTTTAAACAATTATAAAAATCATTAAAACTATTCATTTTTTACTATAGGTTTTTTCACACCTTTTGCTTTTTTAATTTCATTTTTATTTTCAAATATTTTATATGTATATAATTTTGATCTTAACCCAACAAACTCTGTCATTATTTGACCATTAAATTCATCTTTAAATTTACCTGGAACTTTTTTATTTATTCGCGGTATTCCATATTTATTATTCTCTGGATAATCTGAAAAATCAAATTCACTTAAAAGTCGTTTATTGTTTTTTACATCTGTATAAAAATCATCAGTTGTAATTTCTACTATTAAAGAATCTGTATATGTGTATGATAGTCTAATTGTTTTTCCATATGTCTTTTTTAATACATTATAATAAAAATCATACATTCGAGTTTTAGACAAATCTAAAATAGACATTCCTAAATAAATTGGTAGTTTAATTTAACTATAGTTTTTTTCATATTTACAGCTACTAAGTTTTCTATAAAAATAGTCGCTCGATCAAAATTTGGTTTATCAGTTTGATTTTCTAATTTTTTATCATCATTAATTAATTTTATATTTTTATGGTTTCTTGTGTTCATCATAGTCCTACCAAATACACTGTTGTTCATTAACTTGTAATAATCTTTTTCAAATTCATTGTCTGTTTTTGCGCGAAGATTAGTGTTAAATTCTATATATGGTCTTAACCAATCTTTATGTTCAAATTCTATTACTTTGTGTATTTTCTCTAATTTTAAACCTAAACTTAAATACAGCCTAAGATTACTATAATGTAGAAAATTTTTTTTCTTTTCATATAGAGTTGTTGTTAATTTTGGTAATTCTTTATTATCAAATACATTTTCGGGAGCCAATGGATAATCCGAATGGAGATCATGAAGCTCTTCAGGGTATTTCAAATCTACTTCAAAAATATAACCTTTTTTCTGGTCGTCTTTCATTTTTAAAGTTCATTCTGTATCAAAGCAATCAGGATCAGACCATTTAAATCCTTTATATGGTAAATATTCACACATACCCCACCCATAGAGATTATTTGCATCCAAATTTAACAGATATTTCGGTGTTGTTTTTTCTGTTTGTTCTTTTTTATATTTTTCTCCAATATATTTATTATTTGTTTTAGAATATCTAATACTACATTGAGATAATCCTCCTCTTATTCCTTGTTCAAACATTAAATATATATCAATATCTGTTATCAATTCTAATTCTATACCTGTTTTTCTAAACATAGCATTCCATGCAAAACCTGGAGTTGTATAATAATGAACAGGATCCAACTTAAAATGTTTTAATGAAACATGTCTATAATTTTCCATTATATCTGTAAGTAATAAAACATCTATTTTATTATAAAGTATCGTAAAGTCTTTCATATTTTTTATTTTGAATGTTTCTCATATTGTTTTAGCATTTTCATAGGCATTTTGTTTTACATGTTCACCTGTAAGATTCATTTTCCCATTCTTTATACTTACTAATTGTTTCTGAATTTTTATCTTGTGGATGTAAAGCAGCAAGAATTGACCAAAGAAAACATTTGTTATCTTTGTTTTTAATATTCGTAATAGCTTTTTTAACAGATATTATTTTTGGTAATTTAATATATGATGCCCCTCTAAGCGGATTATATTTACACATATTTATGTTCATATATAAGTAATTGGATTTGTATTCAATACTTCTGTAACAATAAAAATACCTTGTGTCCAATTAGAATTATATTTGTTATCGAGCGTTTTTTTCAACTTTTTTATTCAGAAGTTGAAACTAAACAAATATAACAAATTGTACCATTTGGTACATCCTCATTAAATTCTGCATTCAAAATAATATTATTTCTATTTCCACTAACATTATCCGGTTGTCTAGTAAGATTTAATACATACATTGGTCTTGAAATTTTAAAATTTCTAGAATCAAGATACACCAGAGAAAGTTCTTGATGTGTTTTATGAAAAGTTTTCTTGTATGACATATATATATCATAAGCAAGTGAAAATTTTTCATTTTTCCAATCTAAGTTAAATGATTTCTTTGGATATCTTTGTCCGTCAATTTCTTACCAAATATTTTTTACATTACGTCCGGACGGGCCGGGTCATCACGCAGATATTTCGGCCCGACCAGTAGTAAACCACCAGTAGAAGCCGTGATAGAAGCTGGATTGTCGTACCGGACTGGGGTGAACATCGATAGCCCTTGCCGAACTTTAACACCCGCGTGTAAAGAGGTCCCGGGATTCGACATCCGGTCCGGGAATCGCTGAACCTTCGTCGAAACGATGGAAAATTATCGCGGTTGCCGCGGTGACAACTGTTTAAACGAAAACAACACGAGATTTATAGCTGGTTAGAAATGCCTCCGCCGGGAACATAGTCGACTTATTNTTTAGCGCATTTATTAGTTTTACAATATTCCTCATGATCTGTTAGACTTTTCTTGGTATAAAAAAGCGATAAACATGTGTTACATAAATATGTTGTACGGCCATGTTTTGTTTTTAGCGAACAAACTAATCTTGATAAATTTTGATTCAAACAATAATGTTCATTATTTTCTTCTCTAAGATAAAATAAGTTAACATGTATTTTTTTTGAGTATCACATATTTTTAGGGGTACTATAATATCATCATATTCATAAGTAAACACATTAATAGAAATATTTGTTTTTCTTTCAAATTTAGAAATTTCATTTAATTTAACAGGATATTTAATTTTTAAACTTTTAAATACTTCATCGAATTCATTTTCCCATTCTTTATACTTACTAATTCTTTCTGAATTTTTATCTTGTGGATGTAAAGCAGCAAGAATTGACCAAAGAAAACATTTGTTATCTTTGTTTTTAATATTGATAATAGCTTTTTTATCAGATATTATTTTTGGTAATTTAATATATGATGCCCCTCTAAGCGGATCATATTTACACATATTTATGTTCATATCAATAACATTGTTAAATATTCCATGGGAACCCTTAGCTATAAATGCATCTTCTTTAGATTGAATTGTTTCTTTTACATTGTTATAAAAATCATTGAAATTACTAGAATGAAGAAACTGTTTATTTTCTGTTATAAAACCTGTATTTATTTCCTCGTCTGATGGTTTTTCTTGATGTATTTACAAGTTATTGTAATAGATATTTTATAATTACCTATTTCTTTTAAGTATTCTAACATCTTTTTCTCAACACCCGCTTTTGAATAATTCAAAAATTGTTTTATTTCTTTAAATTCACGTTTATTTTCAAACAATAAATGATAATACTTTTCTATTAAAAGCAGATTGATTTTTAGTAGTAATATCAACAGTATTTAAAACAAAAGCTCTTTCAAATAAACTATCATCAAACTCTGAGAATATTATGTGTGTTGGAATCCTATGTTCAAAGTATGTTTTTCTACGGTCTTTTTTCGTTTGTTTTTTTGGAAAAATTGTCATTCTAGGATATACTCAGAAAACTTTGTGAGGTTTTACAGTTCCCTTTTTTCTAGGTTTATAGATGGTATTTGCTATTTTCTGTTTAGTGTTTTCATGAAATTTAGTTTCAATAGTTTTATTTGGATCATTTCTTTGATGTTTTAATGTTCTTAAATGTCTAGACCAATTTTTATATGTTGTTGTTATATTACATGTATT